CTCTAACTTTTCTCTCGGCGCAAGTTAACGTGGCTAGCTAACCTGCGCCGGAAGCAATGGGAGGGAGGGGAAGACCTAAACGGAATCAACAGAAGAATGCAACGGATGAGCAGCGTTCTTCAGCAACTAGAAATGCAGTGTTAGAACTGTTTGTATCTCCAAAAGGGATACGAATTGAAGAACCAGAGGAAAAACCCAAGTCTAGAATTGGGGAAAACAAAAAGGAAGGAGATCTAGCTAGATCCAACGGGAAAATGAAGGAAGGCATGAATACTCCAGCTCCAATGGCAGGTATGGCTAGAGGAGATGAGGTGGGAAGTAAAGAACAAATGATAAAGAAGAACACCGATGGAACAGTACCATGCAATTATGGTACTGTAGAGAAAGCTAAAGAAGATGGCAAGCAGGACGAAAATAGGGCTAAAACATGGGCAAATGTGGTGGGTGGGAACAAATTGGCTATGAAGGGTATGAACCTCCAGTTTATTGCCCCAATTATGCAGAATGGTGAGAAAATTTTGAAGATTGAAGCTGAGGATATAGAGCAGGAGACTGAGAAATGGAAGAATGCTATTGTGATATACGTGATAGGTGAATCTCCCACTATTGGAGCTATGGATTTGTGAATTCAATGGGTAAGTACTCTAAGAAACCTCAGATCTACTATCATAATGAAGATTATTTCATTATATGATTCAATAGTGTGGAGGAAAGGGACCAAGTATTGTATTCTGGGCCACATACGATTAATAATAGGCCAATTATTATGAAGGCATGGTCGGAGGATTTCAATCTCCACGATGAAGTGTTAAAGACAATCCCATTATGGGTTAAGTTGCCCAACTTACACATTAACTGGTGGAGTATGACTGCATTAAGCAAAATAGGAAGTGCCCTAGGTAATCCTATCTATGCGGATGAATGTACAACTGGAGCAATTCGAGTATCATATGCTAGATTACTTGTAGAAATGGACATCACCAAGCCCCTTACAAGGCAGGTGAAGCTACAGGACCCTAAAGGGAAGGAATTAGTACAGGAGGTGGAGTATGATTGGGAACCAAAGTATTGCAGTAAATGTTTGAAAATAGGACATGACTGTGATGAAAATAGGAAGCCAATGCAACAACAAAGAAATGTGCAGCAGAAGAAGGCAACCAAGGGTAGAATGATATGGGTCAGAACTGAAAAGAAGGAGGTAATGTGACTAAGGAAAATGAGTAGATGCAAGAACGTTCAGACAATAGAAAGGCTGATCCGGAACAAGGAACTGATGAAATGCAAAGCAAGGAAGCAGGATAGATCACAGTGGTTGGCAAATCAGCGGCTAGAGCAACTAAAGCCAAACAAAATGAGGACCATAGTGTTGATAAGACAAATGGTTTTCAGAGCTTGATGGCTAACCAAAAAAATGAAGAAGCAGGTACTAGCCAACCTAGCAGCCAAGGAGACCAGGGGTATTACCACCATCCTTATTTCATTCCAGTATGAGTGTTATTACTTGGAATGTTAGAGGACTGAATAAAGTTTACAAGCAGAAAGAAGTAAAGGAGTTCATTAGAACAAACAATAAAGCTGTTATAGCATTAGTAGAACATAGGGTCAAAGAAAAGAAAACCAAAGAAATAATAAAAAAGATAGCTCCAGGTTGGGAATGGATTTCAAATGCAAGAACAGGAGAGAAAGGAAGAATATGGGTAATGTGGGATCCTAGAATCTACACTTTTGATCCTAGTGAAATAGATGATCAGATTATTCATGGGCAGATTAGAGTGAAATCAAAACCAGTCAATTTTGGTTTTACAGCAGTATATGGTCTTCATACCATCAATGATAGGAAAGCTATGTGGGAGAAGTTGAGACAGATCAACAACAGTCAACAAGGACCCTGGCTTGCAATGGGGGACTACAATACTGTGCTACAGGTAACAGATAGGCAGCATGGAACAGAAGTGCAAGACATAAAAGTAAAAGACTTCAAGGAATACATGATGGATACAGGTATGAATGAACTGCAGTATGTGGGAAGGGATTATACATGGACCAATCATCACACATATAGCAAGATAGACAGGGGACTGGTGAATACAGAATGGATGATGACTATGCCTAGCTTGAGAATACAGGTGTTAGAGCCATTAATATCAGATCATTCCCCTTTGAAGTTGATGATCATACAGATGCAGACAAAGAAAAGCAGGCCTTTCAGATTTCTAAATTGCATTGCAGACCATCCACTCTTTATCCAACAAGTTGAAATGGCTTGGAAGGAAGGAAGGGAAGGGGGAAAGATGCAAACAGTTTGGCAGAAATTAAAGAAGACTAAGGAATTTATTAAGGAGATAAACACAAAACACTACAAAGGAATTGAAGAAAGAATCAAGGAGACAAGAGATGAGCTACAAACAGTACAGGAAGACATGAGTAACAAAATGCTAGATACTGAGTTAATTGAGAAGGAGAAAGTACTGAAACAAAAGTTAGAAAAATGGGTGATGATAGAGGAAAGTGTATATAAGCAAAAATCAAGGGTGCAATGGCTAAAGCTGGGAGATTCCAATTCAAGGTACTTCTTTGCACAAATGAAGCACAGGAACAATACAAATGGAATCCAAATGATAACAGATGATATGGGAAGGCAGCTAGTACTTGATGATGAAATAGAGGCAGAAATTCTTGGCTACTACAGGAAGCTTCTAGGATCAAAAGATGAGTCCATCCCAGCCATTAATCCTAATGTAATCAGAATGGAAACAATGCTAAGCAGAGAACAACAAATGAATCTGATCAGACAGGTAACCAAGGAAGAAATAGGAGAGGCATTGAAAAAGATAAGTGACCTGAAGGCTCCAGGATATGATGGCTTTAATGCTGTATTTTTCAAAAAAGCATGGGGAACTATAGGAGAGGATATAACACAGGCACAGTTGAGGAATTCTTTGATACTGCACAAATGTACAAACCAGTGAATTGTACTGCCATAACTTTGATCCCTAAAGTCAAAAATCCCACAAGTATCAAAGAGTTCAGACCAATCTCATGCTGCACAATGATCTATAAGGTGATTTCTAAAGTATTAACTAAAAGGTTACAGGGTGTAATGGATGATTTGGTAGATAATACTCAGGCTGCCTTTGTACCTGGGAGAGCTATCACTGATAACATTATCTTGAGTCATGAGTTGGTTAAAGGTTATGGGAGGAAAGGAATATCTCCTAGATTCATGATGAAGCTTGACATGCAGAAAGCCTATGATTCAATAGAGTGGGAATTTATGGAACAAATGTTGCATGCTTTAGCCTTCCCAACACAATTTGTTAGATGGATAATGAGTTGTATGGGGAAAGTCACATATACCATTCTCATTAATGGGGTTCAAACAAGACCTTTTGAAGCAAAAAGAGGCTTAAGACAAGGGGACCCTCTGTCCCCTTATTTGTTTGTGCTTGCAATGGAGTACCTGACAAGGAAGCTGAAAATACTCAACAACAATCCAGATTTTAACTACCACCCCAAGTGTGCAAAGATGCAAATCTTGCAACTTGGGTTTGCTGATGATCTTTTACTGTTTTGCAGGGGAGATTTAAAGTCAGTCCAATTATTATTCATGGTTTTCAAGAGTTCTCAAAAGCATCTGGGCTGAAGATCAACAAAAACAAAAGCTCATTATTCTGTGAAGGAGTCACAAAAGAGGACCAAGAGAAGATACTGAATTTCCTGGGAATACAAAAGGGAGAACTACCTGTGAGATATCTAGGAGTTCCATTAAGCACCGGGAGAATCTCTATAGCACAGTGCCAACCTTTGGTTGAGAAGATAGTAGGAAGAATAACATCATGGACTACAAGTTTTTTATCCTATGCTGGAAGAATACACCTTATTAAAAGTGTTCTATTCTCAGTGCAGACATACCGGGCACAAAAGTTTGTGCTGCCTAAGAAGATTACAAAGTTAATAGAGGCAATTTGTAGGAGCTTCCTATGGACAGGTGAGAGCAATGTGTCTAAGAAAGCCCTATTAGCATGGGAAAAGATTTGCATGCCCAAGACAGCAGGAGGATTTAACATAATGAATATAGCACTGTCGAATAAAGCAGCAGTATGTAAACACTACTGGGACCTATACAGAGAAAAGAACAAATTATGGATCCAATTGATCCACGGTTACTACATTAAAGGCAGAGAAATATGGGGTATTCAGGTGAAGCAAGCATCTTGGATGGTGGGAAAGATACTTAAAGCACAGGAGACACTTGAGAAGGCAGGCTTCAATTATGAAAAAGTAAAGAGAACCAAGAAATGCAGTATCAAAGGAATATATCACAGGCTGCGTGGCTCATTTGAAAAGGTGAGATGGAAGAAGGTAGTATGCCAGAATGCAGGATGCCCACGATGGACTTTCCTACTAACATTGACAACTCATGGTAAACTATACACGAAGGATAGGCTTCAGAAATAGGGCATGCATGTAGAAGCTGAATGTGTACTCTGCAGAACAGAGGAAGAGAGTGTTCAACACTTGTTCTTTGAGTGTGAGAATAGAACCCAAAGTCAGAACTATTCAAGATGGCCCTAGCTGCAACAGTGTATTATGTATGGCAGGAATGTAATGCAAGAATCTTTCAGGAAAAAATAAGGGGATGGGAAGCAATATGCATGAAGATTGTCCAAGAACTTCACTGCAAGAGTAACAAATACATAGAAGCAAGGATGAATAGTCTTAATTGGTATCCTTGTAATAGATAGATATATGCTTATGATAAAGGAGGGATGGGGAACATAGAAGAGTAGGATGGAATGTACGGATTTTGGTCTCTCTTGTACATATTTCTCCCTGGTAAATAGAAAGTTTAATTACCAAAAAAAAAGTTGAAATTTACCAATAATTGGTGGATCAAAAATGCAATTATCCCATATGGGTCTACATGGGGCCCAAAAAAATAAAATGTTAAATCCATGCTTGATCATTGGGCTAGCTCTCATTTAAATAGTAGAGAAGCAGCGTGAAATAACCATATGATGATTGATTGAAAACGCAATTCTTCACCGCTCCGGCGCCGAATACATTCCTGAAGCGGTTTCTCCAGAGGGAGATTGCTCTTACTTTCTCTCTCAGGTATTTCATTCCTCTTTCTCTCCTTCGATTTGTGCAATAATTTATCACAGTTTCGGCTTATCCATTGCAGGCCCTGTGAAATTACTTTCATTTTCGTGGGCTCGGTGTTTATGATAGCAGCATTGTTTCTAATCGGATCTATTTAGCTTGGTTTCTCCAATTCATTGCATGCATGGGGTAATATACTTTTGACCTCCATAATTATTATGGATTTTTGTTGGTTTTTATGCTTTTTTATTTAATTAGGGCTTTTTTTGTTGAGGCATTTGACGATAAATTATATTTGAAGAAGGAATCATAGAATTTTTGAACACTAATTGTTGTGATTGGTTGAAAGTCAGCTTAAAAATAGTCTAATTATGTCAATAATCTGAAATGAACCAGTATAAAATGGATACAAAAGGATTTATATAGTTAATCCAACTAATTAATCGAGGCATTTATATAGTTAATCCTACTAATTAATTGAGTCATTCTATTTTTATTAGGAACCCACTGGCCTGACCAATCCAAGTGTAGGGCCCAGTGTGAAGCCCTTCCTGCCAGTGTTTCTCCATTCCGAGGTCTCGAAGCCGAGACCTCTAGTTAAGGGTGGAGTGATCCCATCCATCCCACACCCCTTGGTGGTTTGAGGTATACTTGATTGAAAATGTATAGCTTCGAATAGTGATAAAATCAGTTCACTAGGGAAGTATTTAATTTGTTCAGATTTGTAATCCCGAATTTATGTGTTTTCTAACTTTTTAGGTTCTTGATGTTAAAATTTCTTTATGAAGTAATTAGGTAGTGGTGGTCGAAAGATGGCGAAGGAGGAAGGCGGAACAACTTTATACATTTAAATTTGATTCTTTGAGGAAGAACTTTTCACAACATGTTTTTAGATGCAAAAATTGCAATTCACTTGTCTTTTGATGATGTAGCCTAGGAGTTTAGAGCAGTTATAAAAACTAGCTACTGCAAAATGTAGGTCTCTAAGTTATTTTCTTCAAAAGGTAATCAAACTTAAATCATGCTGTTATGTGCTCAAATCCAGTCTATACGATGACGGAAGAAACTATACAAGTAAGGGATGGTACTCTGCTCTTGTCATCAGATAGTCCAAAATCCCGATCTCACCATCCTGTATAAACCTCCATGAATTTGTAACTTATCATAGATAAGTAAATAAACTTGATATTTCAAATTGTTTATATAGTAGTATAGCCTCTAAACCTCATTAAGAACACAGGTCCATATGGTTTTCATCTCAAAGAAAAAAAAAAGAACACAGGTCGATATGGTTTTTATGATCTCCAGAAGAGTCAATCTTGATAGGTGGAAAAGTTGTGTCCTCCTTGCGCTATTGCCATTTCGTGCTTTCCATCATTTATGTAGCACAGGAATTACTTTTGAATTAACTGACTGTAGATCTCTGTTTTATGCACTATTTACTGGTTTATGTATTCTAATTGGTTCTTACAGAAGCAAATGCCATTTGTAACAGAGCAGTGGTTGTCTGGGATCCGACAGTAAAACCAAATTAACTTCCTCAGTTCATGAGCCATTGAATGGGCAGGAATATCTAGATCAGGTAGTTCATAAAGCTAAACTATCAAAGGATTTTTGGACAACCAGCATGTGTGACATGGAGAGCAACAGTGCCGCTCAGTCACGAGGAAGCATCTCGTCAATTAGTACATCTACCCAGACACATGATGCTCATGGCGCTGCAAATACGAATGAACATTCCGAATTTGTTAATCATGGTAGGTATTGAATCTCCTCTTGCTCACTTACCTTTATACCTTTTCATACCTTTTTTTGGTTGCCTTGTTTTTAAGACAAACCACTATGCTTCCATTGCAAACTCTTCTACTCAACATGACCAACATAAGAGATCTCAGTTTGTCAAATCTGAACTTTAGATGGATAAAGCAGTATTCATGCCTCAGCAATAGTTTTTTTCTTTCCTTTGTTCCCTGGTCCTTCTCCCTCCCTTTCTAGACAGATGTGGACCTGTTGTCAGCCATGGATCGTATCGACTGATTATTCTTCTCAAAATGTTCCTTTTCTTGCCCCTAGTGATTTTCTAGTCTTGAAAACGATTTCATAATGCCTAGCGAGCAAATATGTGGCAAGAAAGTTACTCCAATTGACAAATCTAGTGGGTATTTGTTGTCAAACTTCTCTGGAGCCTAAATCACTTTCAATATGAGAGAAGATACTTGTAATTTTTATCAAATATATGTGGATGCTCCGTGGATGCTCCAGATAATTTCTCCTAATTCCCCTCCGGAATGTTAGAAGTTCTTAAAGATAGCTCTCTGTGTCTGTGTAAAAGGTCCTAAGTTTAATCAGCCAATAGGTTTTGATTAAATATATTTTTTGATTTGTAGAATCTTTCCCTTCTTTTTATGGTCCTTGTCATCATCTTTTGTGTATCTATTTCTATGAGTTATCTTATGCAGCTAGTTCTGTTCTGTTAGGAGTCCTCCTCTGGAGCCAAATCAGACAGCAATGGGTTGGACATAAAATTCCCGAGAAACCAAAACAGCTGCTTGAACCCAAATTAAGGTTTGAAAGTTATAATTTTTACCTTACTATCTGATGTGTTGAGAATCCTGCACTGTCTTGCATCAAATGACTATAAATGACCTAGTACTTCAAGTTTTAGGTTCTTATTAAACAACTGAGGCATGTTTTGCTGTCACTGTGCCTTTCTCGATTCTTTGATAAAAACGAGGAATTAAATCGTACATGATGTTAGGCTGCACCTTATTTGAAAAAGTGTGCTGCGCGGCAGCTAGATGTAGAAGATTGAAGTTTAATTTTCCCCATCGATCTATTTGCGGAATTCAATTAAAAAACAATAATTTTGATTTCCACACAGCCGAAGGATCCAGTAGTGAATTCTTCTTTTCTTTACTCAATGGAAGCTATGTTTCTTATTAGACTAGACTAGATTCAATTCTTGTGGCATGGGTAGTTCTCTAAGTAATTGAGTTTCTGAATTGTGATAATAAAATGTAGCGTTCTATAACACTGGTATGGCAAATGTACGACATTCACAATATCTTCTCTCTTAAACAAACTAGATCCAAGCAAAATAAGGCCCACCATTTTCTGTAGTATTGATGTTAGTTGTAAAGTTTTGCACTTAGGAGCATGTTTAACAGTCTATTAGTTGGTGTGAACACCTCTTTGGTTTAATAACCTTGTTTAATTGAGACATGTTGTAGCAAGTTTTAAAAATCAAACTGCTTAAAGCTCCTTAGAGGTATTTATATCCCATGTGAATATGGCACACATTAGAGTTTAGGGGAGGCTCTTTGGCCTTCGCTAAATATTTTGAATTGTTTAACCGAGTAATACTATTATCATCTTCTGTCTCATTACTGACCGCTATGTATTGGCTGTAGAATTTCCCTTTAAAGTTGGATACAAAGGTCAAATTGAGTCAAAAATTGCTTTTCTATGGTGGTCCTACCTTAGGATTGAAAACTGAAAGAGGTAAGGCAGCAGTGAGGATGATGTTTGCCAATGATTTGCACGAGTAGGATATCCAGATGTTTAGTGTGGATTTTAGAAGAATAATCATGCTTGGACATTTTATTCTCTGCTCAAGTACATTTTTTCTATTGATGGATCTTACTGTCAAAGAATATTTGGTTTTGCAGTTGGAATGCTACCTATGATAGTCTGCTGGGAAGCAACAAGCCATTTCCCAAACCTATTCCACTTGCTGTAAGTCCTCTTGACAAAAAAGCTTAAATGTATTGAATGCTTCTCATACCGTGCTTTATTTAACTTTCCCACTGTTATAAGAAATGTGCTTTATTTAACTGTTATATATCCGCTCATATAAAACCGGCAGGAAATGGTAGATTTTCTTGTGGATGTTTGGGAGCAGGAAGGAATGTATGATTGAGATGTTGCAAGGCTGTGGAAAAATCGTCAAAGGAGTAGGGCTTGTTAGGTTCGTGACGGAGAGCTTAGTAGGTGTGGCGTGTTTTGTAAATGACATGTAATCTACTTCGGCGTACATTTAAACGAACTCTTGTGCTGGGAAAGTTGTTCACATTTATAAAAATTGATACTCTTCTAGTTTTGGCAGCGGATGTTTATTTCTTATGCTCTATTAATCGATTAAGGGAAAAAAAGAAGAGAATTTCCACATTTGAGCCGACCAAATTTGTATTACAAGAAATTCTCTCGCAAAGTAGTACTCTATTAATTTCATCGATCATGACGTGTTACCTTCTACCTAAAGTTTATCTTCTAAGTCCATCCTAATTAAGCAACTTTTAATTCCGTGTGATCATCTCCGCCCTTCAACCAGAGGGAACAATGATTTGATTTCTTTGTTTTATTTTCTTCTTTGTGTCTGACTAAAATGACTTGTAAAAGCTTTTTTGGTTTAGTTTATTAATAGAAACCGAGCATGTATCATTTCTTGTGCCAAGCATCAGGCCAACGAAAACTCAATGGCATTACTACTAAACGGCGGTTATTCGTCAACCTTGCCCTCTATCTTCGTTTGAATATTCCTTTGGTCTTCAGATTTAAAATAGATGTGGAACAGTGGAAGTTCGATAATTATTAAGGAACTGTGTTTAAATTACTGCGAAGTATATTGTTAACTTTCATAACATTACGGTAAAATGAAACCAGGGATAGCTTTACCTGTGATTTGTGAGGATGAGTTGGACACATATTATTCAAAATTGAAGGAGCCCAGTAAATATCTTTTGATTGGTATTTACCCCTAGGCTAGTGAGGTAGTGTAGCTTCAACTCGAGAATGGAAACTGAATGACTTAACATAACGAATAGAATTGTCAAGTTAAACTCCAAGATTTCTTGCAGTTAAGGACAGGAATATGTCTATGTGATGTCATATCAGATGCCACTTTAATATTTGGATTCGTGGAGGACAGCACCCTGAAGCAGCTAGCCTAAACAACAGTGAAAAGACACTGGGTTCTGTTTGTGTACTCAATCTGGATCATATTCGTTAACAGGGGGAAAAAAAGTTTCTTTTTACAAAGTGAATCTCAATTTTTCCAAGTTCTTTTATTGGATTCTATGTTGTACTATCACTCAACGTGCAGAGTCGTTTCTAGAGTAAACTAAATAAGTGAGAGGCTTTCGTATGCTTGTCGGAAACAACCTCCCTACCCCCACAAGGTAGGGATAAGGACTGCGTATACACTACCCTCCTCAAACCCCACTTATTGCTGCTTTTGTCTGCCTATCCATCTGGTCTTTTTAGGTGACAGTAACAAAAGTGTACTAAAATACCTTCACCAAAAGCAATTGACCAAAGAAATTGTAAGGCATATGTATTCTCTAAGTTTAGAAACTACACGCTTAAGTTAGGAAGTTTTAAAAATGGGATAAATATTTGCTAAGCTTGATTTCCATTTTCCATTATCATCAATTTCATTTCTAAAGGCACATTGACAATTGTCGTTACCTCAAAAACAAGGAAAGCAAACGATTTGATTAATTGATTTGACTGATCAGAATGACCTGTTGAAAATTTTCACATTTTGATATTGGAAAAATCGAGTTTGAACTTTGATGTAAGCAAAATTGTCAAACAGTCAACTGAGATGCATTGTAACCTGCAGCAATAACCAGATAGAGGCACAGAAAATTTCTAAGTTAAAGTTTCAATGTGAAATGTCATGTGATTGGTGTAGAAGCTTTTGGTATCAGCCTATTGTCCCTTCTTCTGGAAACAGTAGTAAACCTTTTCTATTCATAAATACCACTCCACTGCTTATAGTTCTTTGCTCATCCTCTGCATAAAACTTTAGGACAAAGCCATTAGCAAACTAATGGCTCTTTCAAGTACATGCACGTTTTGTCTGAAGATTGTAGTTACATTGGTCCTTTTATTGTTTCTTACATTTCAACCTTCTGAATCAGGTGAAGTCACAAGTTAACTTTTTGCTGATATTTAATTCTTGTTTCAATTGTAGTCAGTGGCGAAGCTAGGAATTTTTCTAAGAGTATTCAAATCTGAAATAAGTGAAAAAAAATTCTCGACAAAGGGTGTTCAATATATGTTATATACCTTTAAAACATTTACTTATATACACGGTGCAACTTTCCGACAAAGGGTGGTTAGTTGACCACCCTTGTGACCATGTGGCTTCGCTATCAATTGTAGTGGAAATTAAAAACTAACACAGATGATGAGAGATCAATTTTTCATTTGCTTTTTTTGTTTGATTGACTTTTGTGTTTGTTTCAGTGGAAATGGCAAGGAAAATGGTGATGGGGTCAAAGCCACCAGATTGTGTAAACAAGTGCATGAATTGCCAGTCATGTAGGGCAACTCTAGTTATCCCACCTCGCCAGAAGAGAAGTGCTGATGAAAAAGATGGCAACTATTATCTTCTTTCATGGAAATGCAGTTGCAGAGATAAGCTTTTTTGACCGGGGCGCGCGATGCTATGAGTAGCTTTAGTTCAAATGGTGTATCTGTATTAAGAAATCCAGCTAAATATATGCACAAAAATTAAACTCAGAATCCAATTACTAATGTCTGATATTGCTGCTATCATAGAATTTAGAACTCATAATAAGGGATCAGAAATGAATTAGAATGATAAGTTAAGTAGCGGAGAGGAAACTACCAGCTTTTGAGTGTAGATTAATGTTGTATATCACTAGTATTATTATTCAACATTGCTCCAATACCAAAATATAGTTACTGATCTATTATCACTGGAATATGCTTGATCAACTTTAATGCATGGGGAGGGAGATAGGGGTTGAGGGGCTTATTTATTTAATTGTTTCTTCACAAAGCAACAAAAATAAAATAACAAAAAGATTTTTTTGCTTTGTGACTGTGGGGTTTGTTTTAGAACAGAGAAAAAAGCTATTGTGGTTGCTGGCTGCTTAATCAAATTTCGGAGTCCAGAACCAAAATGTGGTCCTTTTGGACTCAAATGACACAAATATGTGGAAAAAAAAATAGTGACATTTTTATATATAACGCCACTTAACCTGGCGCTATATATTAACAGTAACGGAACCGTTAATGTATAGCGTCATTTATTGTGGCGCTATACTGCAAAAGCTGACACGGACTGGTATAAAGCCACAATAAGTGGCGCTATATCCTTTGTTACTTTTGCCAGCAATCAGCTCGTCTATATATGGGGAACAGAAATCCAATTAAAAGAATAAAACAAATTATATATCGGAGTATTATTCAAATCTTGGTAATCAAATGATCTCTAAGTGGATAAAACACTTCCTATTTAAAAGTCCGTGAATACCTCAAAATCGTGCTGTCTTTTACTAAAAAAAATTATTTTAGTAATTACACATTAAGGAACAAAATGCTTACCTCATTAGGTACCCTTCCACTAGTACATATATCAAGTAATTTTACACTTAAACAAAAAAAAAAAATGAATATGTTATCTATTGTCAATTTTGTTGAGATATGTATATTAATGTTCAGAATTGTCACTTTAGTTCTCGAACTTTAACGACTTGTATGAAGAACACATATCTTCATAAAAATTAAAATTAGAATACAAATCATCTAACAATTGTTAAGTTTTATATATATATATATACATATCTAAAGTAAAATAAATGTCTTATACTCATTTGCTTGGAACGAATAATAATCATATGTAATTAAAGTTGACAAAATATTTAGAATAAATATTGATGCTCGTTTGGGCAATATTTGGTTGTAAAATTCAAAAAAATGAGTATTAGAAGTTGTAGAGAAAAAAATAATATTTGGAAGTTGAATTCTGTTTGGACATGAATTACATTTGATATTGCACTTTTGTAAGCGAAATACATTATTTCACTTGAAATATTTGTTAAACCAAAATTTCAACTTCAAATACTCTATCCCAGGTTGAAGTTGAAATAAATTAATAAATCAAAAATCTGACATATTAATTTAAACTTACCCATAGTAAGTTTGAATAATTTTGGTTCTTATGATATAGATACTCCCACACCTAAATTAAAATGTTTGTTTTCTGTCTAGGAAGCCAAATTTTATGATACCTAAGGAACGCTTTTAGCCTTTAACTTATTTTTGAAACATAAACGTTTGTATATAATAATGAAATGTCTTTACGTATTTTTCAAATAACAAAATTTTATCAAGTAGTATTTTAGTATTTCCAATCGTTTGATAAATGAGTTAAGTGACTATCAAGCAGTCAATTTTGATGTTCTTTATTTTATGTCCCATATACATGTCACACTTTCTTTTTTGAGTTTTGATCGTCTCAAAAAAATACTGCATAATATAAATTTCTTAAGAGTCAACCAACAAACTTTTAATAATTATACTATAATATATCATTCTTCTAGACTTCTAGTTTCATGTTTAATCAAATGAACGATAAAAAAAATAAAGGGAAGACTACTATATATTCTAAAAGGAAAAGGATATTTAGAAAAATTAGAAAGTATATTGAGTCTATATTTGACCTTTTCATTCCTTCTTTGTGAGGTTTTGGGGTCCCTCCCACGTGGCATCATCATCAGCAAACCACATAGAAGGGTGATAGGACATTTCCTGTTCAAATTTTAAGAAAAGGATATAGCGCCACTTATTGTGGCTTTATACCAGTCTGTGTCAGCTTTTGCAGTATAGCGCCACAATAAATGGCACTATACATTAACGGTTCCGTTATTGTTAATATATAACGCCAGGTTAAGTGGCGTTATATATAAAAATGTCACTATTTTTTTTCCACATATTTGTGTCATTTGAGTCCAAAAGGACCATATTTTGGTTCCGGACTCTCAAATTTTGAGTTGTTCTTGTAAAAGGTCAAACTAGAATCAGCTCTCTTTCAGTTTCAAGAAAATGTAAGTTGACAAGCTGTACTAGTCCTTAAATTCGGTGCAGAGATTTATATATTATAAAATTTAAGTTATATGCACCGACGTTATAAGAAATATTTATACAATCACGTCATCTATAGGTACAAGGAACTCCTTATGGTAAGCATTAACTGCTAACATGTAAAAATGGTAAGAAACCTACTACTCTCTCCGTTTGAATTTATATGTTCCATACTTTCCTTTTTAGTCTGGTTCAAAAAGAATATCGCTTTCTATGTTTAGTAGTTCGTTAGCTCCAACTTTCCACATGGTATATTTAATATCACAAGA